TTTTCCTGTATTTGTACATTCAATAACATGCAGGTCTTGTACTTTACCCAGTATGCAAATAACTTAACATGAACCTTAAATGTGAGGTCAACATGCCACTCTCTACACATTCCTACATTTCTGTTGTGTAGCAATTGCTGCATTGGAGTATCAATTTCAACGGTTGAAATAGAGAAGGGGTTGTGATTGTGATCTGTCACTTCTCTTTCTCCCCTGAAAAAGTGGATCAGTGTTTTTGAAATTTAATTAAATGGAATGTATGTATGCATGTATAAAAGAACAATTTCTTTTTCACACTTAACAATACATGCTTTGATTTGATGATTTGTAATTACATAAACACTTTTATTTCATTGTTTTTTGTTTTTTTGTTTTTTTTTAAAATGATGATCAGGTTCAGATGGAAATATTCACAAAGAATATGATTGTCATGCAAATGCGAGAATGTTCTGATAGTTGATAGTTGTTAATTTCAGTGACAGACTCAGGAGTGAATATTAACGATTATGTTGATTTTCTTTTACACATGATGCTTAGAGTAAATTGAGTGATTTATAAGCAGACCATTCTATCCGTATGAATATTGGATGCTCTTACACAACTTTATGACCACAATTCCACATCCTATGCTTTAAACCATCCTCTTTCCATATCATGCAAAATGTTTAAAAAAAAACATACACACACACACAAAAAAAAATTGTATACACCAATTTTAGTTTTGATAGGAAAAGAAAAATAAACTATTCCAGTGAATTGCTGTTTTTCCAGTCCTGAAAAAATAAACATACCTAGTAAAAAATGTCCTGGGAAGAGTGAGAATGTGCAATGCCGGACATGATTTATGTCTTGTTGCTTTTGTGTGTGTATGTGGTGCATTTCCCAATATTGCTTGGTTGGGCTGTTTGCCATGTTGTCTGATTTCTCCCTATCACCACTGTCTTGCTTATCTCTTTATTCATAACCTATGGTAGGTACATTATCTCCGCAGATCTTGGAATATTGATTACTTGTCAAATTTGAGGCCATTATCACAACACCCCTAGGATTTAATCCCATGTCTTCTGCCCCTTTGTTTATCTCTCCTTTCGGTGGTCCTACTAAAAAACTCGCAAATTATTTCTATTGTTGTTTTTTTGTTGTCTAATCCTCCCCCCTGATTTGGCCTCCCCTGGGTATGTGCTTTCTCAGTATTTGGACTTTAGTTGCTATTATATGTCTGTAAAGAATTATGTTATCTCTACACTTAATCAAGGTATCCAGTAGCTTATTGAGTTTTCTTGTCTGGCCCGTGTGACAAAATTGTCCCTCCATGTGTACTGTTTCCCTTTGTAAACTGTAGTATAATATTTTAGATAATGATATCTCTCTGCGTTTTCTGTTTCTGTGGAATCTTCCTTCAAATGCTTTTTACCTTCCCTGTAAAAAATTGTGAATATGCCTGCCTTGATTAGATAAAGTGCCTGTAATGATTTGATTGAAATGGCTGATATGTAGCTAGTCATAATACTATTCCTATTCTAATATTGTCTTGGAAATTGATTGCCTTCAGCTTTTCTGATTTTGTAAATTATATTCACATACATACATGAAGTATAAGTTAATTAAATTAATTAACAAAACAACAACAACAACAAAGAACAGAATAATTCTGTTTTTGCTTTTTCACAATTTCATTGAATTGTTGGCATGCACTTTCAAGAATGCAGTTTGGAATGTTGCCCTGTTCTACAAATTCAAATAATGATGGCAATTTTTGTGTTCAATCTTAACATGTTTTCCTGAGTTAGGAATGAATTGTTGACGATCTGGTAATCATATTTATGTTCAACAAACCAATATTCTAACAAATAGAATTAATCAAAGCAATTGCGTGTTTGACACGTGATTACTACTAACATCAGCGTAAAACAAATTGGGCTTTTAATCAATATCAAATACTTTGATTTAGTCTGCGATCTCTAGAAATGATTGCGAATGCACAGGAAACAATGGAAAATTATTTTGAGTTCTAATGCGCTGACTGCTCACTGAATATTTCTGTGTTGCATATTTCTGCACAATGTAGCTACTGTTTTATCACCACACCACGTTCAACAAATGTTCATAAATACCTTGTTCTATGGTCAAAAAGATTTTGGAATATACAGGTATTTTTTTTTTCTTCTGAATTTTGTCTGATGTTCATCTACAATATCTATGTCCCTTTCTGAGTTTCTGTTTGCATTTTTCACCTGATAATGTGTGGGTATAGATAATTCAAAATATTTTCTGATGGCCTGTTTTCTCATGGTTTTATGTCTTGTAGAATTTACAAACCTAGAGGCTGAGATTCCGGCTGGTGTTTTACCAGATACTCTGCTTGTTATTTAGGCAGGGGAGAAGAGGTTGTTATCAAAATGTAAGTAAAAGCGAGAGTTGTGCAACACCCTTTCAATATTTTTGTCTTAGTGTTTCTCACTTTTTCTGTAAGGTACTTCACATTTGTCAATTTAAAGTAGTCTCCTATATGGCTTCCTACATAGTATCGGTAAAAGCAATCAAATTATGTAATCCTTTTTTGCTTACCAGCCACATTATTAAAAGCCCAGATCGTAAACTTGACAAGGAAGTTCAGGTTGTTGCCGTGATTGTTAGAGAGCAAAAGACAAATTTCGTAACTCGTATTTGGGATTGGTTTCTCTTGTTTTTGCTTGACAATTGCGCATGTTCAATTTCTCACATGCATGGACTGTGATTTGATTCTAACTGCATGCTGCACACTAGCAAAGATTACACACAGTGTTTGTATAACATACATAATACTGATTGATTCTAACACCAAGACATGTTACTGAAGCTCATTCTGTTAGTTGATCTAATCCAACTTGGCCAATTGATTAGATGGACATCAGCTACACATCACATCAGCTACAAACGTTTATGAAAAAAATACTGGATCCGTCATTGATATATCATAGGACATATTATTAAATACCTTCAATGAAGAGCATCATAATTTTTCCAGTCACAATTTTTGGAAAACGCTTTCAACATTTTTAGTTAATTTTCAACATTTTTGAGCCAAATGAACATAATTCTCCATTTGTTACATAAATCAATCAAAATTGTTGATAGAATATGGAGAGAATTGTGCAGATTTATTTTGTGAATACTGATAAATGACGAGTGCTCAATTTTTTTTTTAAGTGCTGTTAAATCTATACAGTATTGAGATATAGTTAATGCACTTCTGTTTTTTTCTTTTTAGTAGAAATTTAAGGTAAAGTTTCCCTCATTGTTTGAACAATCATTGCTCATATTCAA